TAGAATGTTCGCATGCCATATTTGCTTTTGAAAAAAGTATTTTGAGGAGGACCACCCTATTTTCAAATCCTAGATCACCATTGTGCTCATATACTCAATACCCCATGAGAGTCATGTAATTTACACATCACAAGTAGTGGAGGCGCCAAGATAGGGGCTAGTATATGGTCGATCACCCCGGGTAGCCAAAATTAGCGTATAAAAAAATATGATCCGTTTTGTACATGGTACAATACATGTGGGATTTGCATTGGATAGAACAGACACACCAAGCCCAACCCATAGCCCCTTACTAGCTTAGCATGAGCACACCACCCACGTACAGGCACACGCATAAAAATCCCCAAAGCCCAATCAAGCTAGGCAGCCAGTGAGACTGCGAGCGTAACCTAGCCGTCGTTGGCTCACCGCCACAGAGCTCCGCCTCGTCGGGCCGCCGGCTTCCAGGCACCTGATCCAAATCTGTGGATGGGGGAACCAAAAGAATTAATCCCAAGCATGGTCTGTGTGGGTGAAGGCAGCGACGGCAGAGCATCGAACTCGTGCAAACATGCAGGAGTTGTGGTTTGCAAAATTAACAAGTGCAATCAGCAAGTGCAAGCATCAAGAGGATACCTTAGCAAGACATGGTGGTATGTGATGAGGATCTCACCATAGGACATTGATTCAGTTCGATCAAATGTGGATTTGGTGATTCAAGTGCTACATGTTATTTCTCATGATGGGGAAGATGCGGATGATAGAGCAAAGCATTGATGGCTCAAGAATTTGTGAAGTTTTTTGTATGATTCTTATTTGGTTTCACCGAATCATTGTCACTTCTTGGGTATTTCTAACGCTATTCCCTCGAAAGAGAAGAAAAATCTGATTTTCCATTGTTTGGCTGGAAATATCATACATGGAAGGAAACCAAAGAGGATTATTGCAAATAAAGTCAAATGGAGCAACTTCCATGTGGAGAGCCAAGCCTTCAGGTGTAGAAGACCAAAAGACGGCCTTCCATACGACCGTAAGTGCCCTTATGAGCGATCGTACGAGGTGCCAACAGCTCCACCACTTCTATACAAGACACTTTCATGAAGGGGCCCAGGGGAGAAGAAAACCCTAGCCGCCACCACCACATACATAATGGAAGAGGGGGAGATCTGAACAACATTGGGAGGTCTTCTTAGTTTTAGTCCTTTTGTCTCCATCATCATCTCACCCTTCACTATTGTAATAGGAATTCCAAGTTGTGAGAACAATTTTAACTCTATTCGGTCTCATCTGGAGATCAAGACTATTTGAATCATCCATTTCCTCTTATTGTAGATCCTCGAGGTATTATCAATATGGTTTTCATGGGTTTAATCTCTAGTGTGATTGGTTTCCCTCTTATGATGCGTGAGTAATTCCCCATAGGCATGGGAGATGTAGGTGGGTGGTAAGATTCATTTGTCCCTAACATATATATGTCATTCGTATTTGTAGTAGTATGATATGTTTAGTATGTTGTTATACTGTGATGAACTCTATGTGTGTTGTCCAATTTAAGGGCCCATGCAACATGATCTCAAGACCTACACAGGTAACACATAATCTTTAGGGGATCTGTGGCCTTTGACATGACAGGTGGAGATATCTATGAGGACCAAAGACAATATGATATAACAGTGATCCATGAAACTTAATGCTTGGTTCCAGTTCAGGGACCTTAATTGTGGAGACGACCACTCTATGGCAATGGCGAAGCATGACCATAGAATAAAATATAATCCCGGGAGGAGAAGTTTCATAACTTTAGGGTGAACACACATATCAAATATTATGAATATGATACAAGGCAACTCGTATTACCATCCCACTCGCACACTTGATATATTCTTACCATGAACTGAATTCTCTCCATGCGCGTGTCCTGAATTCTCTTGCAGGCAACTCAAATCCCATCTTTATTTATGCTATTTACCTTTGAGAGTTTTTACCTTCGTTACTTTAAAACCTTTTATCTAAGTTACTTTGATTTATTCGTCCACCAGGACAGTAACAATGTTTGCAGAAACTCAAGTAGTTACTTCACACGAGAACTATGACACCTTGTGTGTGATAGAAATGGCTATATAAATACTCTCTTCTGCTCTTCGTTATGATGATAACTAATTGGGATACTTCCATGAAAGTGCTACATAACCCTGTTTGGCTTGCAGGCACCAAGCATCAAGTTTCATGAAACCTATGGAGGTCTTTGAATTTGTTCTCATCTTACATTTGATGCTTAAAGTTCTTGGTTTGACTAATGACTTGTCACAAGCATTACAACAAAAGGATTAGAACATAGTAAGTGCAATGAACATGACTGTGTCCGTGAAAAGTTTATTGCAACAACTGAGGGATGACGGATGGGAGACACTTTTGGATGTTGCCACTTCCTGTTGTAATAAAAGGGAGATACCAGTGCCTAGTATGGATGAAAATATTCCAGCAAGGGGTTACCCAAGGAGTTCCCGCAAAATGGTTAGTTGCTTCCATCACTACAAGATTGAAATATTCAATGAGGTGCTTGATAGAAACATGGTTGAGATGAATAACTGGTTCAGTGAAACTTCAACAAGGTTACTGATATGCATTGCTAGTCCATATCCTAGAGACTCATGAGAACCTACTTGAGCGTGCATCTATGTACTCAGTCGACTTCGATCCAGAAGAACAATATCATTTGGATGGCCAGCTCAAGATATACATTGATATGATGAAAAGGTCTCATGTTTTTTGTGGATGTGACAGTCTAGGTAATCTTGCTCTCAAGTTGGTTGAAACTAAGGAACATTACACTTCCTTTGGTTTACCGGCTCATCAAACTTGCTTTGACTTTGCCAGTAACGATAGCATCTGTTGAAAGAGTTTTCTCAACCATGAATATCATAAAGAAATATTTGAGAAATAAGATATCTGATGATTGGTTGAATGATCTGATGATATGCTATGTTGAGTGAGATATATTCACTGCAATTGATGACAAGAAGATTATAAAACATTTTCATAGCTTGAGAGATCGTAGAGGCCATCTACCAAACCCTCCTTGTATACTTACAACTTAGGATAAATACTTTTGTTATCTATTGTTTCAAACTATTTGATTACTTGTTCTAAGACATATTCATATGCGGTTCGTTCAGCCGTTGTAGGTTTCTACTCCCTCCGTTTCAAAATAGATGACTCGTACAAAGTTGAGTCATCTATTTTGAAACGAGGGGAGTATTAGTGATGGAGTTGGACATTTTGGGCCATGGAACGAATGATTCAAGCAGCAGGAGTCCATGTTAGTAGTTCTCTGTGACGTTTATGTTATATTTTGTGATCTTTGGTGGTTACATCACCTACTTGTCGAGAATCTCGAACTGTTCTGAATCAGTAGTTATGTTAATTTTCTATTGCATCTAGTTTCATATTTGAATTTTATGAGATTTGGTTGAGCGGACCTGCATTTGTCAATCTAAAAAAAATTGCCTTAAATGTTTCGCCCCGGCTAAGCTCTATTCGGATCCGCCACTGATTCACGAGGTACGAGGTGGATTCCTGAGAGGCTGCTGTCGACCTGCGAGAAGTACTCCCTCCGTTCCTAAATATTTGTCTTTTAAAAGATTTCAAATGGACTATCACATACGGATGTATATAGACATATTTTAAAGTATAAATTCACTCATTTTGCTTCGTATGTAGTCATTTGTTGAAATAGACAAATATTTAGGAATAGAGGAGTACTTGAAAAATTAGGACTGAAGAGGAACAAGATTGCCGCGTTCCGCTGTCCCGAAAACTTTGGCACGGCCGTAGCTCGCGTGATCGATGTTTGTTCGTAGCCTCATAGGCCTTGGCACATGCAAGTTTCTTGTGGCTCCCTCCCTGTCTTTCGCACTCGACGGACGGGGAGAAAGAACGTCAATTCAAGGAAGCGCGGAAACGGAAACATTGCCGTTCAGGCGGCAGGACCCAAAAACCGAAAGCAAAAGCGCGCGCCCCACCCAAAACGGCCACCGCAGCCGACGGTTAGTGCGAATCTTCTGCCGCAGACCCCTCCCCCAGGCTCCCGCTCCAATGCAAAACATGCATATCCACGTGTCCACGGCCGACACTGCCGGCACCACCATTAGCGGGCCAATTAGCTAAGAAGATCCCATTCATTTTCCTGCATCACCAAGCCCACCAAGGCCATAAATCTCCCCAAGCCTGCATCACCATTAACGGGCCAATTAGCTTACTGTTAAGAAAATCACATTCATCTCTCCAAGACTGCCTTTCTTTCTAAAAAAAGATGTACCTAAAAACCATGCGTGCGAAGGAAGATTAACGCAGTAGCAGCTTGATATTTCAGCAGTAGGTCCATCCAAAATCGCATTGAATATTCCAAATTTCAGCAGTAGTAACAGACGCCCCGGTCATTTTACAGATAAGAATACAACAGCCTTTTCCTTTCGTTTACAGCTATGATGCCAGCCACGTACTCCGAAATTGGACGGAAGCAAAATAAAGACGAGATTGGCATTTCCATACTAAAATACAAAGAAGCAACCAATTTCAGATCTCAAATTCCACCACATTCCAGATCTCAACCCGATTTCTTTTTTTTTTTTGAAGTTATCTCAACCCGATTTCAGATCTGGAAATCCAAAGAGGCAGAACAAGAATTGCATTGCAGGGCAAGAAGCGATTGATCATAATCATAATTAATTAGATAAACAATGCACTATTTGTTTTCGACACCACCACAAGGATCTTGCTACGCTAAAAAACCTCGACAAATCAAGCTGCTACGGTAATGCGGAGGCCGGGGGACAAAGCCCTCGCCACCGCCGTCGTCGTCGTCATCGTTTCACCCACAGATACACCTCCAAGGGTACGCCGGAATGAACCAGAGCACCCACAACCCGGATATAAAATTTACAGTCTAGAACACAGAATCCTGGACTACCACCGACACAGAACAGGGGAATGGAAACTTGTTGCGGGAGGACGGAGACGCTCTACTTCTTGGCCTTCTTGGCGGGGGCCTTCTTGGCGGGCGTGGCCTTCTTCACCGGCGCCGACCGCTTGGTGGGCGGCTTCCTGGGGGCGGCCTTCTTGGGGGTGGCGGCGGCGGCGGGCGCCTTCCTCCCTGGCGCGTCCTTGGCGGAGGTCTTGGCGGCCTTGGCGGGGCGGCCCTTCGGCTTGGCGGGCGCCTTCGCCTTGGCGGCCGGCTTGGGCTTCGCGGCGGCCTTGGTGGTCTTGGCTGGAGCCTTGGTCTTGGCGGCTGCCTTGGGCTTCGCTGCCGCCTTGGGCTTGGCGGCGGCCTTGGTCTTGGCTGGGGCCTTGGCCTTGGGCTTGGCGGCGGCCTTCTTCTTGGCTGGGGACTTGGCGGCGGGCTTCTTGGCCGGGGCCTTCTTCTTCGCCGCCGGCTTCTTCTTGGCTGGCACCTTGGTCTTGGGCTTCTTGGGCGCTGCGGGGGCCTTGGCGAGCTTGTAGGAGGCCTTGACCTTGGTCAGCTTGCCGGCGGCGACGAGCTTCTTGATCTGCGTCAGCATGATCTTGCGGAAGTTGGCCGGGAGGTGCGCCTTGTGCTTGTCCTCGATGAACTTGCCGATGGCCACGGTGCTCGACCCGCCTCTCTCCTTCAGCGTGGTGATCGCCTCCGACACCATCTGCGCAAACACAAAGCACGGGCGAACAAAACCAGTCAGATCAGGGCAAACACGCACGAAAAGAGAGCACGACGAGCGAACAGAGCACGATAATGGAGCGAGATTCGGCGGTGGTCGAGGGGTTTACCTCAGCGTAGGTCGGGTGGGCGGGGGTGGCCTTGGGCTTCCTCGGGGCGGAGGGCTTCTTCGCCTTGGGCGCCTTGGGGGTCTTGGCGGCCTTGGCCTTGGTCGCCTTGGCCGGCTTCGCGTCGCCGGCGGCGGCGGCAGCGGTGGTCTCCGCGACGGGGTCGGCGGTCGCCTCCACCTGAGGCACCGGGATGTCGGCGGCAGCGGCGTCGGTCGACATTGCGGCGGGGAAGCGAGGGGAGAGAGGAGCGCGCTGGTGTGTTTTCGCCGGAGGTGAGAGAGATGCGTGTGAGCTGGGTGAGGAGGTCAGGGCGGAGGAGACGGTGGTTATATAGTGGGAGACGTCGGGAAGACGGGGAAGGCCGAATGCCGCGCGCTGATTGGTCGAGAGGGCATTGCCGCGGATCGCCCCCATAAGCAGCCGTCATCAAACCTGGCGCGTCCGATCCGTTCCCATCCGACGGCCATCGACGCGCCCCATCCGATGCCGCGGATTCAAGCCCCCCCTAGTTGGCCGGCCGTCTCGCGAACCAGCCTCCAGACTTCCAGAGTGTGCTTCTCCTCTCGATTTCCGATCAAATATCGCTCGATCGGATGCACCGATTCGAGTGTAATTTTTTCCATCGTGTAGGCAAGGATCATGGCTTTGTAATGAGATTGAGTTTGTGTGGTTTGGTTGAGTATTCTGGGAGAAATGAGCCGGTGATCAGGGACTGGTCGGGATGGTGCCTTGGTGGGAGTTTGATGGCGATTTCCGGCCGCCGGCACGGGATGCACCGGCGAACAATGAGATTTTCCGGCGTGGTCGTATAGCTGGTTAACGTAGCAATCCGTAGGTTCAAGAATCACGTCGATCCGACGTCGTTTTGATAGGCTACGAGGCGATGCAACGCGACCCAAGTTGCACAAGTTGTGGAGCCCTTTCCTGGTGGTGTGTGAGTTCGGCCGGGCTTTGCACTGTTTGCCGGCGCGATGGCCGGCCGGCTCGCCGGAGAAACGCCGTGCTCCAGTAGGTGTGGACATGGGGAAGGCTTCCCGGCTGCTGCATTTGGGTTGTCACACTTGAATTCGGATGAATTTGCACTGGAGTGATCGACACTTGTTCTTGTGGCTGGGGAAAGTCTACCGGGTGATACAAGTTGGCTTGTTCTACCTCCCAGATCAAATTTCATCGTAATTTCAGATGGTTTCTCGATGCAGACTGCAAATGTTATCTAGTTTTTGATGGAATGACGAATTCGATTGGAAAATTTGAAAGTTTCTGGTACTGTTGGGACCAAGAAATGTGTCCAGGAAGAGGTCAAAGTTGGGCTGGGCGTAGTGCTCTCTGCCAAACATGATGATCGATCAAGCTGATCACTTGGACATTCGAACACATGGAATTCACAAAGTTTCGAGCTGCTCGTGAAGTTTGAAATGCAAACGACGAGTCAAATGCTGCAAATTGAGAGGATGAGAGAATGCAAATTGCTTGTTTGTACCAAACTGGGCACCAGAAGGCTCTGCATGGTCTCGGCTCATCGTGAGCCCGGAAATCATGCTACTGGAACGGGTGTAAACATGCTCAAATTCAAGAACTAGTTCCATGGAGATGTTAAACATTCAAAAAACTGATGAATCCTGATTAAACTGCAGCATCAGACCGGGGACAAGATCGATCAACAAGAGCAAAACATGGGCGTACGTGGCGTGCACGCCAGTACACAAACAAGAGGATGCATGAGGCGTTCTTGGCAGGGTGCACAGGTGTTCCATCGGCTCAGCCATGCGTATGTGAGCTCATTAATCATCGCCATGGATTGACTTCATCTCATCAATTCATGGAATTGGAGTTAACATGCTCACTGAGAGCATAATTTAACCATTCTTTCACTTGATGCACCGGTTTAAGTTGACCATTCCACCTAATTTGACATCACTATCCACCTTCTATTACACCATCCCATCTTTGTTCAAAAAAATGCAATTGCCACGGAGCTTATTCCGCCCAAAACAACTTGCCACCCCTAGCAACATGATACTATTTTGGGGTGTGTTCCTGGGATATATAATTATCTAGGTTCAGGTGCCACTAGCTGGTGACGATGATGCGTGTATGTATAGGATAATTATCCTTAACTTTTGTGTAACCATGACGAGCTTTGCGTCGGAGAGATTAGACGTGAGCTCTGTTTTGTTTTGCGCCGGAACAGGATAGGAACGTCGCCGGCGATCGAGTGGCTGGCAGCAAAAGTGGCCGGCGCTGCGCCGGACCGCTACTTGTGCATCTTGATTGCATGTCTGCGTCGGCGTCACACATATGGATATGGTGGATCATATGTCCTGGATAAATGGCTCAGCATCCTCCTCAATCATCTCGCTGTCCTTTAACATCAGTTGTGTAACAAGGCTTGGGATGAAAGCATACTATTACTGTGTTTGCACAAGATCTAGCGAGGTTGATCGAATCACGCGGGAGTTTCATTACGTACCGTGCGCGCCATGTCTTTTCTCCAATCACGGCAAAACCACCGAGCGTACATCGTTGGCTCGTGCACGGTTAGGGTTGCAAGCGGGGCGGGCTAGCGGACAATAGCTTAATACAGATATAGTGTTAACATTGGGGAGTGGTGAACACATTGTGAACTAGTTGACGAGTTTCGCGGGATGAAGTGGGATACCGCTTGTGCCCCTATGCATGATCGATGTGTGCACCGTGATGATCGTATGCTTGTTGTGTAGTACGCGGGTGCACATGAGCATGCACGACGGCGAAACCACCCGATGTACCTCTTTCACTTAACCAACACGCATCACCGAGCAAGTAGTCAAATGATCACGGATCAATCAAGTTCGGTTGATTATCGCAGGCGCCAACATCAATTTGTTGAAAAATTCACACGGTCCGGGGAGTGGGAGTACTCGACAATGATAGTGGCACACAAAATGCACATTTATAGGAACCATGGTGTCGGTGATGTAGCTCGTCTTTTGGAAGATCTAGGCCCTCTTAAATGCAAATTGTCACATCACTTGTTCTTCAAAAACATATTGTGGACGGTGGATCAGCCAAAGTGCTGGGGTTGGAGAAAATGTAGTCCATCTTGAACCAAGATCAACAAGTGACACATCGTATGTTCAGATGTTGCTAGTCCCCTAGGATGGATGGTCGATTCATGCACGACATACATCTTTTGTGAAGGAAGCGGGCACGGCGTGATGAGGGGAAGTTGTTCATTACATGAGCGCATCGGATTAGAAAATAGAGTACTACAACTTAAGGGAACCTTCAAGAAATCCCAACTTTTGACAATAGTAGAGCAACACCCCTCTCTCGCCACCACTCCCAACCGCGAAAACGAAACCTAACATATCATCCAAATTGAGCAAGTCATAATGATGTTTATGCAGACATTGCCCTAGCCAAGGCTTGTGGTCGAAATAGCAAGCATTGAACGATATCTTGTTTTAACTTTCTTCATCACTTGTGATGGGAGCAACTGATTTCTCGAAATTTTGTTGTTACACTCATTTAGGTATCATAAATCCAAAAACACTCTTTCACGAGCGAGCGTTGGAACACTCGGTCATTAAACTTTCCACTCCCTGATTTTAAGGAGCTCCAGATAAAAAAATATCTCCCCTCCCGCGAATCAATTGTGTGGCCTTTCCATAAATCTCTCCCCCACCCCGATTTCAATGGGTGGGCCCCAGCGTGGCCTACGATAAATCTCTCAGCCCCCCTGAATTCAGTGGGTGGGGCCCAACATGGCATTAATTTCCTCTCAATCTGATTTGCTTAGAAGGAAAGTTAAGTTCTGCTTGTTCCGGTTAGAAACTGCGCGCGGCCGCGAGCGCGCGCATTAGCCACCCTCTCGTAAATCATCATCATAAGCTCTAGTGTTGGTTGGGTCCACAATGACTTGTTCACTCGAAAACGTACATTGATTATTGTCCTCTTTTAACCCCGTACAACACTTGTAATCAAAGGACATAGTAAGTGTGTGAAGATTCTTTTGTGTAACACATCTATTGTATGCATATTCCATCACATTCCATTTATAGATCCATAGGGCTAGGATATGATGATCTTGTTGTTTCCAAAAAGAAATAATGGATCTAAATTTCATTTTGAATCAATAATTTATCTACATGACTATGGAACATTAATTGCTTATATACATTGGAAATAAAATAACAAACGTCGAACGTTCCAATCTCATGGAAATTTTCACCTTTTTAGCACATTTAGATTTTATATAAAAAATGAAAAACCAATCAAATGCATGAGAATGTTTGTATTTTTTCAAGGAAATGTCCATAATTTTCATTTATTTTTTGCATAGGAGCTAAAGAGTTGCATAAGTAATTGAAAATGAATTTGCTTCCATTTAGTGGCATTTTAAGTTACGTGTAGGTCAGTTTTGAACTATATCCACTAAATAGCTAGAAATTCATTTAACGTGTGAAACCTTAACCTTCTTTATGGCTGGTATAATGATGTTGTTCTATAAAAAAAGTCACTTTATTGCAATTTTTATTGAAATAAAATGAAAGAGATAGTTGAGCACGTGTCACTTCCTAAAAAGAACCCCTCTAGAGGGTTGTTTCTGCCAATAGTTGCCCCCTCCGTTTGGAGTTCGAAGCAATCATCGACGCTACCACCAGTGCGTCAAGGGGAACATCTTCATTCAATCATCTTCACCATATCCATTAACAACACCTTCTCCATTTCGTCTATAAATAATTCATGTAGATCGGTTACCAGTATTACTCCTCAATGTTATTTGTTGTTATAGTGGTTGATGATCTATGTTTTATTGGTGAGAGATATATACTTTCAAATTGTCATGTTTATTTATACACCACTAATTATGTTCACCTTGGCGTATGTTGACTAGTTCTAGTACGCTATTGAGGATATGGGAGAGAGCCAGTTGTTGATGGTCATATATGTAGGGGGAGAAGGTACGGTACGCTAGCGCAAAACAAATTGTGCGAACCAGGAACATGTTGTGAAGATAGATCATGGGAACATGATTTAGCACTAGATGGACAATCACAACAACAAAATAAGAGTTGCTGAAGTGCGTCCCCATCTCTTGCTCGTGGATCCCTCATAGCTCCTCATGGTTCCTGTTAACTCCCGTAGGAGTTGTTAGGATTCCCCCAAAGAGGAAGGGTGACGTAGAACAACAACAAAGTATTTCCCTCGGTTAGAGAACCAAGGTTATCAATCCA